TTAAAAGAATTAGATCTTTTAAGAGACTGAGCCCCTACTTCCTCATGGCAGATAGATGCTGGCAAGAGTTGAGTGTGGTTGCGTCCTCAGAAGGCAAACCCAATCTCTTGGTTGTCCCAGGCCCCACCCCAACTCCCACATCGGGGCTAACTGCCTGGCTCCATCCACTTCTGAGTCTGCAACCCCAGGAGGAGCACAGGGGTCATCATTTCCAGGATGGCTTTCCTGAGCCCCCAGGTGAGCTAACACATCCAGTCCCGTTTGCATAACATTCTGCATTTATTAAACGCCTATGATACTGATGGGAGAGGCCCTCACAGTGTTCCATGACATAGTCATCACTGACTTCACCATCTTCTCCTGCAACTCCTTGCCTGCTGCTGGACATCCAGCACTTCCCAGAGTTCTCATGTCCAGGTCCTTGCCCTGGCTGTATTTCCTCTGTCCGAAGCGCTCCCTTCTGCCTCCTCACCTGCCCCCTTTAATTCCTGTGCTGGGACCCAGCTCAAGCCATCAGTCCCTCCAGGCGCCTCCTCTAGGCCTTGGGGCACCCATACAGCATGGTGGTGGGAACAGAAGCCCGCTAGTGGGATGATCCTGGATAAGCTACTCATCCTTTTTGTGCCTCGTTATCCTCATCTCTAAATGACGCCTGTGACAAAGCAACTACCTCACACAGTTGTTGTCAAGATCTAACCAGTTCATTTAAACTGAATGCTTATTAGAATAGTGGCTGTGCCATATTCAGTTATTAAAATACCTATTTTTTATTGAATAGTTCCACAATTACTGATCGAACCTAGTATATGCCAAGCACGCAGCTCAGCACACAGAACACACAAGAAACTGTCAGAGATACTGATGTCGGGGAGTCACGGCTCTAGACTCAAGGGGTAGATTCCAACAGGTTAACAGGAAATTTTAAGCTGCGTATAAGTGCTATGAGAAATTAAAGGTTTTATGGAAAACCGGAGGTGGGATGGGAATGAAAGGGTAAACTTTAGGGGGCAGGGGAAAGCTTTCCAAAAGGAATGCTATTTAAGATGAGATCTGACAGAGGAGTTGGTGTGGTGGAGGGAGGGCCTCCAGGAACAAGAAGACAGTCTGCAGCAAGATCCAATACTGCCCTCACCACAGGGTGCTGAAACCAGCTCTTCGGCATCTTCACCCAATACATGGCCACTTGGAAAGCCTGTGTCTATCTCTGTACCCAACTCTATTATGGTGCTCAGCAAGCAAACTGCTGACATTTCATAAAAGATTTCTGAGCCAAACAGGATCCATAACACACTAGGTTACTTTCAATCTTTAAGCCTCCCTTATATTTGAGGTTTGTAGAAAAGAATCTGTCTTCGAGGATCTTGCATTCTGAGACGTGACGCGCACACATGCACAAAATGTGTTTTAACACGAGTGGTTTAATACTACTTCCTTCAGATGAAGGTGGCCACAGAGGAGATGCAAGAAAACTCACTTTCCAGGAGGGAATTTGAAAGGCACATGAGGAAAGAAAATATGGATCAAAGATCTAGAAGTAGTAGCCAAAGGATCAAGAAGAAAAGCCTTTCAACTTTCAGTATGACCAAGGAAACACCTGTATAGAAGGAAAGCAGAAAAGCGTAACAGCAGGAACGATACACCTTTTTTATTTTTTAGCATCTGTGCATAAATATAGCACAAGAGCAATTCAGACACTGGGTTTTGACCTCTGACATGTACCTGAACTTCCGGTTGGGGCACTGACCTCACCGTGATGAGCAGCAGCACAGGCTAATGTCTGCACCAGAGGCCCAGAGCTCTAACCATAAATGGTGAGGTTTAAAAATGGTTTGGCCGGTAACCATAAAAGCACTTGTATGGGGGCGCCTGGCTGGCTCAGTTGGTTAAGCGACTGCCTTCGGCTCGGGTCATGATCCTGGAGTCCTGGGATCGAGTCCCGCATCGGGCTCCCTGCTCGGCAGGGAGTCTGCTTCTCCCTCTGACCCTCTCTCTCTCTCATTCTCTCTTTCAAATAAATAATTAAAATCTTTAAAAAAAAAAAAAGCACTTGTATGGGTCAGACACTGCTCAAAGCATTATACATCGACTACTCCTCACTTAATTCTTGCAACCTTTTGCGGTAAATCCAATTATTTGTGTCATTTTATAAATGGGGAAACTGAGGATTGAAAAAAAGTTAAGGAACTTGCCCAAGGTCACAGAGCTAGTAATGGACACGCTGGTGCCCTGAGCCGGGCAGTCTGGGCGTGGAGCCCTGCTCTGACCACTGTGCTCCTATCCTACTCAGCTCTTTTAAAAGGCTTTGGTGCTTAAATCATTGACTAAAACATTTCTGTGAATTTTTTTACATCAGTTTCCGTATGAAACCAAAGGAATGGGGGAGGAAGGACAATTCACCTGAGGGTGTGGAATCAGACATACTCCACTCCCCCTTCTTTCCAAAGTTCTGGGAAGACCCCAACTTAGTAGGCTGTTGTAAGGATTAGAACTTATTCAAAGGGGGCATGGTGCACGTAGGAAGTGCGCAGTAAATGTTCATTTTCGTCTCTTGGTAGAAGACAAAATTAGGGCTAAGATTCTCGTGGCTTTTCGGCTAGCGTTCCTTCCAATACACCACACAATCTCTCCCTGACTGCAGTGTTTAAAAAGTGACAGGTGGTCGCATGGACACGCAAAAGAAAAAATGCACCGGGAAAATACAAGCCCAGGTGACTGTATCGGAGCGCTGCTGGAACCCAGAATGACTTGCAGGGAAGTTCCAAGGCCAGGGATCTGCAAAAGACACCCCCAGTTCCCCCAGCCCCGCCCCTGGAACCGTTTCCTCAGCCCGATTCTGCACAATTTGCCCCTTCTCTTCCCCACCGCTCTCTCAAAGTTGGCTAATAGCTGGGCGCAATGAGTCGGTGCGGAGCGCACGGGCAGGGCCCGGGGGCTGCACACTTCCGCCCGGCCTCGCGGTGGGAGGCCGAGTTCTGCGCAGAGGCGTGGCGGCTGCAGGCCCCCGGCAGAGCTCGCCGCCTGAGCCCGGAGGGAAGTCCAGCCCCGGCCGCCATCGAGGTGCACGCCGTGCGCCCCAGGCAGCCCGCGCCACTCACCACGGCGCTCTCGGGCAGGTTGTAGCGACACAGAGTGTGGTCCAGGTCGAAGCCGACCACGTCGCAGGCGGCCAGGGAGAAGTGCTGAGCCATGGCTGCGCTGGAAGCACTGGAGAGCTCCTCGAGCGCCAGGACGGTGCGAGGAGCCCGTGGACGGGACGCTGCGGGACGCTGCGGGACGCTGCGGGACAGGACCCGACGGGACCGGGGCGGGGCGGGGCGGGGCGGGGCTGCGCCGCCCCCCCCGCCCCCGGGACGCAGCGCGTCGGCCTCCAGTGCTTCCCGCGCCCGCGAGCACCGCCCCCGGCCACGCTTCTCCCCGCCCCTCGCGCGGCCCGCCTCCCCGCGTCGACCCCGCGGCTTCGGCGCCCTAAGGCGCGCCGACCGCCGCCGCCGAACGGCTCCCGGCGCCCCACCGCCATCCCACCCCGCCCCGCGGTCCCGAAGGTGGGGGTGACCGGGAGCCGCGCCGCCACTGCTGGACCTGGGGGTGCGGTTGAGTCCCCGTTGGCACATAACCTTTGTCACAAAATTAGCCGGGGCTCCCCTTCGTTTTCAAGGTGTCACAGAAACCGGGACACTGTAAAGTTAGACCCGACCCTTTGCTCTTGTGCGGAATAAGGTAAGATTATGGCGAAAATTCTATTCACTAATATCCTTTGACACAGCCTAGAATTTGGAAGATCTCTTGGCCCACGTGCTGAGGGTTGAATATTTCGTAGCTTGCTAAGTAGTTAAAAAACCTTTCACTATTTCCCTTTCTGGAGTGCATTAGAAAATAAATTTATTAGAAGGAGTTGAAGGACTATTTTTGCAAAATAACGCTGATTAAAAAAATCAACGTTGTCTATTTTGTTACTTAATTATCCTATTTTTTATTGGAATGAATTTTTCTATGAAGAACAGCAGAAAGTTGATAGAACATGCTACAGAATAGAAAACTTTCTGCAAACAGATGGTTTTAAGATTTATAGAGCACACAATCAGGTGACAATAATCTGAATTCTCTCAATTCTCTATTATTTTAGATGTTTAGGAAAAAAGTTACGTAAAATGGATGCTTAAGGTATTTAATTTTGAGAACCCATATGAAAAGCTAGGACTTTGAGATCTTTAAAATTATTTAAAAGAGAAAATACAATATCTTTTTAAAAAAATGTAATTCTATTATCTTTGTACTCCTTGTGTTAAATTTAAAGAAACATTGTCCAATGGAAAAAAAAATCAATAGTTATGACATAATGAAAATATAATTCATTGAGAATTACATTTAACCCTTACAAATACTAACCCTTATGAGGCCAATAGACCAATCAAGGGATTAATTTAGTGCAATAAATAGTTCAATTAGGTAGGACATTTATTGTACCTAGTGGGCCCATTTGAATAAATTGAATACTTGTTCCATTATAACTCTTAAAAGCCCCAAACAATGAATCATGGAACAGTACATCAAAAACTAATGATGTAATGTATGGTGATTAACATAACAATAAAATAAAATAAAATAAAAAAATGAAAAGAAAAAAGGCCCAAACAAATCTCTCGGGAATAGGAGGAGGAAAGAATCTTCAAGAAGATTGAGCTATTCACTGACTGATAATCCAACAACCATGTTTTTAATGTCCGTGAATCAAAAAAGAAGAACCTGGGTTGATTCACAGTTCGTAGCTATTTTCCTCTTATGACTCTGTTGCCCATGGGACATTGACTTTAACATTCCTCTTTGCCCCCTGCAGTAGGCCTGCCAAGATCAAACTGCCAGGTAGACTACACATTGAAGGCCACAAGTTTCCTTGAAGGGTATCTTGGACCCACTTCAGGGACTTCCCTTAGTAATGTAAATGTACAAGTGCATTCACTGCCAGAGGGAAGAGTACAAAAGGATTGTTTTTTCTGATATAAGTATCCCTGGGACTGGAGTTGGTCCTTAGACTTGGACAGGCTCATCAACAGACATTTCTGCTTGCTGAGTGACAGCTGTACATTTCTTACATTCCCCAAGTCCAAAGAGCTCTCTCTGCTAGAGTCTAGACATTTACATTTTGTGGGAGAATTTAGCAAACAATGCACTCCAGGCATCCTGAGAGCTCTTACCCCTCCCTGAGCTATATTCACCTTTCCTGGCCTATACCTCACACCTCATTCCAACTCCTTTAAGAACGTGTGGGATGGTTTCCTCTCCCACCCCTACTCCTTACCTAACCATGAACTTAAATACATTTACTTTGCTTCATAGGGCTTATTTTCAAATAAAAATATTTCCTTTTTTTCCTGTACATTAAACTTTTATCACAGGTACTGATAAAATACCACAGCTGTTCTATTATCAACCAAGAAAGAGTTCAATGTACTTAGACCAATTAATTTGTTTCTTTGAGTGATAATACTAAATATGTCACTGTTGTGGCCTGAATTGTCGTCCCCCGCCCAACACTCCCCAAATTCATATGTTGAAGCCCTAAGCCCCACTGTTGACTATTTTTGGAGGTAGGGGCTTTGAGTATGGTTAAATGACGTCACAAGAGGAGGGCCCTAACTTAATATGATGGTGTCATAAAAAGAAGTAGTGATCCCAGATGGAAGCATTGGTAGAAGAAAGGCCATGTGAGAACACAAGAAGATTCAGTCTGCAAGCAAAAAAGGAGGGTTTCACCAGAAACCTACCCAGCTGGCACCTTGATCTTGGACTTCCAGCTTCTAGAGCTGTGAGAAAATAATTTTCTGTTGTTTAAGCCACTAAGTCTGTAGTATTCTGTTAAGGCAGTCTCAGCAAACTAAGACATTCAGTAAGGAGATTTGACTCGAACCAATGTTGTTGGGTCAAATTTAGTAAATAGTATTTGCATTTGAAAGATCCCTAAATGACATGAACTTCTGCTTAAGTTTTTTTGCTTAAGTTATTTGTTGGTTTTAAGGACTTTGGTATTTTTGAGTATAATGTTAATACTATGCTGTGAAATTTTAGGATTTTTTTAGTATTCCATGTACTGAGTTTTCCTTTTAACTCGAAAGTTATGAAATAATTTAGAAATGCTCAGAAATAAGTTATATTTTTGCTGATTTTCTAGAATTGAATTTCATCATTACTACTGAGCTATATTTTAATACAGTTAATCCTATAACTTAGCAACTTTAACCTCAGGTATGCCTTTTACTTGTTATTTACCTAAATAACTTGTGATCAGCTAGCTTGTTTTAGACTCTGTAGCTCACTAAGTGATCTTTTGTGAATTTAAAATACTGCAATTTGATATCTACATTGTAAATGTTATTTACCAAACTGTTATTTGGGGGCGGGGAGAGGTCTGTTTGTTTGTTCTTTTGTTAGTTTAAAACATATTTTTCTGGGGTGCCTGGGTGGCTCAGTTGGTTAAACATACAACTCTTGATTTCCACTCAGGTCATGATCTCAGGGTTGTGAGATTGAGGCCCACATTGGGCTTGGCACTGGGCGTGGAGCCTGCTTAAGATTCTTTTTCTTCCTGCTCCCCCCGCAAAAAAACCATAAAAAGAAGTGTTTTTCTAAATACCCCAAGGTAAACATTGTAATGTTAACTTTTTATACAATCTAATCTCCACATCTTCCCTGGATCATATAATTTGCTTAAAGGGAAACGATAAAGTTTATTTAGTAATTTGAAAAAAATATATATAAATGCCTAAAAATTAATCTCTATAGCGCTTAAGTCATTTAGCTAAATAGAACCAAAAGCTGATTTGTAATACTGGGCAGTGGCCTTAAGATGGCAGTAGTTCTGCATTAGGAATATTTTTCATTTCATTTCTTTAGTAATTTTAAAATCCTTAAGTTTCTTAATAAAAAAAGTGATTTTCGGGGTGCCTGGGTGGCTCAGTCGTTAAGTGTCTGCCTTCGGTTCAGGTCATGATCCCAGGGTCCTGGGATCGAGCCCCACATCGGGCTCCCTGATCAGCGGGGAGCCTGCTTCTCCCTCTCCCACTCCCCCTGCTTGTGTTCCCTGTCGCACTCTCTCTCTGTCAAATAAATAAATAAAATCTTAAAAAAAGAAAAAAAGAAAACACCAACCATTTAAAAAAAAGTGATTTTCTACTCTCCCTTTCTGCTCTTGCCACAAGAAGAGACGCCTACTTAGAAATTTTACTGTGGTTTGTGTGTGTGTGTATGTTTATTTTATTTTTGTGTGTGGGTGGATTTATTTTTGACAGAAGGAGAGAATGTGGTGAGATGAAGTCTTTTGGTAGGAAACTTCTCATTAAGGTTGTATCTCAATAAATAACTAAACGTTTAAAATATACAAGGAGTCCTTCTTGCAGAGAGAGCTAAAATTCTAAATGGCAGAATTGTGATTCAGCAGGATCTCTAAGGAGGTAGCAATGGATTGGAATTTAATTAATTAGGACACGTGTTGAGATTTGGGGTCAGGTGCAAACAGGTAAATCAAGGGGAATCTTGATTTACCAGCAGTTAAGTTGGAAATACAATGTGGATAAACTCAAGGTGAACTCAACTAGTTCCAGGTTAAAGTGAGTTTCTCTTTGTTTGACTGTCAGTCTTCCCTTTTTCTTCGCTGTCTTTCTGGGAGGCATGGGGGTTCCAAATTGCAGCAGGGCTAACATATTGCCAGGGAGTCTGGGAACAGACTTCTGGTCCTTGGCTAATGGCATCCATACATCTGCTTCCCCATTCCTGTCAGTATTTGGTTACCTCTGGCCACGGTATCCTCACTGTTAGCAACCATGACTGCTGCAACCATGACTCTGCAACACCTCTAGTTACAGCGTCATCAGAAAAATTTTTAGTTTTGATCCAAGCATGAGACCATGTTAGGCTGCCGTTCCACACTCAGCCAACCTCTGCTCCTCTCTTGGGAGTCCCAGGAAAGCGTCACAGAAAACTTTTGGCTTTGAAGCCACAGAAAAGGAGGGTCTGTGTTTCGGCATGGAAAGGTGGGGTGGCTGCCTCAGACCCCTCTATCCAGATGTGACCCACTGTTTCTATTCTAGTGATTGTTCTCTATTATCACAGGACACTCTGCAAAGCTGTCTTCTCTCAGAATTCCAAATGAGAATCAAGACCCAATTCTCTCTGCTTTGGGATCCCCAAGCTCATGTGGCGGTTTCTGTAGTTTCTCATGCAAGGGATTTAACCTCACAATGGGATAGGGTGTAGGGTCTCTTTCTCAGGGACCCATACAAATGACACACTCTAATG